TGGAGCATCCTTGGAGCACCGTGTCAGTGAATCCTGTTGGTACGGACAAGGGAATTGTGAGAATTCTTGTCACAAGTTTTCAGACCACTTTTCTTCACATGTTGCCGGAAAATGGGTGCCTCAAGTGTTTGAGGGTATCTATTCCTCTGTCACATTTGCTTTACGCTCAGTGAAAGTGTCCGGAGGCCAGCCGTCCCTAACTACCGAACATCACATCATTTGGACGGATGTCACATGCAGGGCACGGACCAGACGAAGGCATGCCCTGATTGGTCAGAATGCCAGCCAATCCGAGTCGAGCATCTTTGGCTCGACTCTTCTCCCGCCCCCAGGGAGATTCTGGCACGACCTTGTGGAACACTGTGATTACCCTATAAATACAGTTGTAATAATTTTCCTTTATCTCCATAAAGGGCTGTGTAGAGCTACCGTGCCTTCTGATGTACCATAGTGGGCGGAGCAGGAAGCCAAGGGACCGATACAGAGTTGCGCCACCGTTCAGCAAGACACAACAAAAAGAACCCGAGATGTGTCAATGAACAGTAGTCAAAGTTACTCTCCCATTAGAATCTATTAGAATCTTTTAGAATCTTTCGCTTTATACCATCTTCATTACTGATAGCAACACTAAACAAGAACGCCAGTGCCTTACTACCGTAGAACCATGTCAGTTTATCCGGAAATAGTTTTATAATGGATAGAAAGGGACGGGAACATGGGATAAAGCTTCACAAACATTAGAGGTGCATATACCTCATACACTCTGTTGGACTATCCAGACAGAAACTGGTAACATGAACGCTACTGATATCAATTAGCCAGCACATCGTTCGGTGTCTCCAGCCAAGTACAGGAGGGTTACTTCGATTCCATTCTGGAAGGCGAGCAGTAACGAAAGCATACTAACCTCTCGTCATCTTCTTTACTTTTTGTGTCCATGTCGAATTCTGTCTACCTCCAAGGACTCCGAATTAGGCAGGAAAAGCAACGTTCTTCTTGGCCAAGCCGCCATAGCTTGAAACAATGGATGTAGTCTTTGAGTGAAGTACCGTCTGCTTCACCAGAATCCATTCTCATGATCACGTGCTTCCGAATCTTTTGGCTCCAGTCAATTCCAGCTACTGATCTGGGGCGTCTGTGGTCATCTGCAACCTGAAGTCTAGCATCCTTGCAGCAGTATAGCCTGCACTTGAGTCTAATATACACATAGTGTGGGACTCACTGGATTACCTTTTTGACACGACAAGTGGCGCGAATTGGCTGATGTAATTTCGGTCTTTGAGATTTGTGTGTTGACTTTTTCTGTCACAATACCGTACGCTCATGAATGTCTCTTGACGTGTATGAGCGCGCGGGCGTGGGGATCATCGTGGTGTTACTGGCCAATATTTACCTCACGATCGCCCAGCAATCTGTCCTCTTATTCTAATCCGTTCGTACTCAACACTTGTTACAGCAAACTTCCATTTGCAATTGAGGACAGAGATGCTTAGTTTGACCGGAAATTTAACCCCAAGGATTTTGTTAGTTGGTCATCAGTGCTAGTCTCACTTGGAGTATTATAGATCACCAACGAATTAAGAACCGTCCTGCGCAAGGACTAATATGAAATCAGCAAAACAGACTCTGTTTAGACCCTAATTCACAAACTTACTAGGTTGATATTCAAAATCAGGGGCATAGTTAATAATCAATAAAAAACGAACCGATGACTTCACTCTTCAGACTTGGAAGCAGTGGCTGTTTACGCCATATCTGCAAGGAACAGGCACGTTTTACCTGTCTAGAGTTTCTTAGCTTTTCTTGACCAGATGAGCCTCTTCAATTTGGTGACTTCAAAATTTTTGTCATACAAAATCGTTCAGCTGTAGCACCCTTTTGCTGCCTAGCCGCCATGCCGCTCAAAGATAGCACGAGGGCTTGGATACTGCCAGTTTGCCCAAGCTTAGACAGGAGTAGTCGAGAGTCAGAGGTCAGGTTTGAACCACAGATCTGCCGGTCAGGAATTCGCGCTCTAACCACTTGGTCCATCCCGCCCCAGTATGACCATGAATCTTTGTCATGGCCAAACTTACAGTAAAGTGAGTGAAGTGGATTTACTAGAAATTGAGATCCACAACAAAACTCACTTCGGTACTATTTTCTGGAGCAATGCTACCAAAAAGTTCCTCCCACAGTTCTTGTTCCCTCCTTTTATCAAACCTGGGAAGAGAAAGCACGAAAAATCTTTAATCCGCTCTCTCGTGAGCTGAGGTCTGATCTCTCCACATAAATACGTACATAGTACGTGATTAGTCACAATTTATTCGAGTTTATGCCACAACTAACTACGTGATGAGCTAAGTATCGTTCGTAAGACAACCCGCAAAACATTTAGAAAAAAGCCCATTTTTTTAGTGTGTGCGACATACATCATAGAGAAAAAACAATGTAAAATGATTAGATGGAGTTCTCAGCGTTTGGTTCTTGTGAACCCAAGGCTGCGATTTGCCTACCACCCTGTCTATCAGTGCAACGGTGGATATTACTGATGGGGACATGCGAGTAGTATGTTTTCTCATAAATCCGCTTCGCGTCTTTTGAAAAGTGAGATCTATTACGGAATTTGTGGAGTCACATTTGCTTGCAGTTGAGCCACAGTCTATAAATATCCAGGAAAGTTCAGGAAGACGCGTTCAAGGATATTCAGTTTTTGTAAACAAGATGCATATGAGAGTTTTGCTTCCCTGTCCATTAGTCTCCAACTGTTCACTTGGCGTTTTCTAATAAATAACCCCGCTGCAAAGGCCTTCTTTCTTTCACCAGTAGGGTCTTTTTAAACTGCCTGGATTTACTCCTCTTCTACAAAACAATATGCATGTAATTTAATTTTTTTCCTTCCTCATGTGTTATTGAACGCGACTAGTCACGTGGAAAGACCGACTGATGCATTGTCATGTTTGAGGTGATTCTACGCTCGAATGGGAAAGAACAATATTGATGTCCAGTCGTGCGGAACCATAAAGTCTGGGGTCCACCCATAAGTACCGAATTCGGTCGTTTCCCTTCATCATGTTTCCGTGGTAGAACCAGTTTTTCGGTCGTGCAATGCATACCACGAAAATTTCTGGCTCTTAGGAACTCATAAAGTGAGGCTGTTCCCGTCATTAGAAATCCAATAACAAGTAATAATAATCTGTAGTGCACTACTCATAAGGTCGCTGAAAATTCGCCGACAGCCCACGACCGGTTTCGGCCTTCTTGGGGCTCATCAGGTGGGCGCATTCCCCGAGTTTCCATCAGCCCTATGTTCTACTTGAAACCAAATTGCACGAATTTAGCGAAATACACTGATTTGCAAACTAATTTGGTTTTTCGAGAGACTCACCTGGAACCTAGCTGAATCTCTCGTTTGTGAATTTTCCAGGCAAATGGGTGCAAATGAGTGTAGTTCACCAAATTTGTGCAATTTAGTTTCAAGTATTGCACAGGGTTAATGGAAACTCGGGGACTGCGCCCACCTGATGAGCCCCAAGAAGGGTGAAACCGGTCGTGGGCTGTTGTCGACTTTTCAGCAACCTTATAGGTAGTGCATTACAAATATACATGTATCGCGATACCTCGAATATCGTAGCGACTGAAACGTGAGGCGACCTGGTGCAGGACATTCATTTGCCCGGAAACATCAGTAAATAGTTGCCATGCCACCAGAAGGCAGCACTGCGAGGTTTCCCAACCATGAGGAGGAGCATTTGGGGAGTCAGCGTCGGGTTCGAACCACGGACCTTCCGGTCAGTAAGTTCGCGCCTTAACCACGGATCTTTCCCGAACTCATTGTGATGATCTTTCTATCTCTCCGTGAGCCTTGAGAAGGCAACACGTAACAAATCTTAAAAAAAACTGCGTCCTTCACCGGTATTTTTTGACAGGATGGTAGCGAAAACTCATCGAAATGAATTTATCAGGTTAGGATTTGGTAGGATCACCTCCTAACAGATATTTCTGGTCCAAATCATGTAGCCGTTTCTCACCGACATTTGTAATCAACCAAGAAGTACAATGAGAATGCACCTATAACCCACCGTACCGATGCTCGCACCTGATTTGTTTTTGGAACGTTTGCTCAGCTAAGGCGAACAGATAATTTGTCCCACTCATCGATGTTAACCACAGTTTGTATGGTCGTGAAGAGAGATATATTGTTCTCCTTGAGGGAAAACAAACACGTTTACAGCCATCTATAGTTGTCAGCTGATTTTCCTTCCACTCGACATGTGTCACAACATCTGTAAATTTGAAATTCACTGCCAAGCAAACAGAGGCTGCCAATACTGTGGATATCTAACCGCCTGCTGCGGAATGAGTCACCCACTTTCTAATCTGAAACAGTGGGCACAAGTTCGATTCCGTGGTCTGCATTCGCTTGCCCAACATGAGGTTGGATAGCTGAATAAAAGAAAAACAACACTGGCTTGGACACTGTCCACTCAACAATACTCAAAACTCTTTGAAGTTTGTCACCAATCAAACTCTGGACGTGACTTGTAAGGCCAGCAGTTTTCGACGGAAGGACTTCCCTATACACTCCTAGTTAAACGTGTTCTCGTTCTTTGAACACCAGAATAACTTACTTCACCTCCATCTGTTCCACCTTCCCAGCTTGTCTCTTTGACGGCTCGTATGGCATTGATTCGAACCCAATCCTTTTCTCGTCTTGTTCTGAACCTGTCAGTGAAGGGAGACGCTGTATAGACTGGGAGAATGTGTCGGCTACCCTTTCATCCAGCTTCTCCAGTGTCATTAATAACCGAGTTTTCCGTTCACGTTCTTTCTCATCGTCGACAGCCGTAGAGTTGGAAAGTTCAGCAGTATGAGCATAGAATGGGGACGGCGATGAGCACGAGTCTGATAAAGATCGATGGTCCGGTGAACCCGCCGAGCTCACTTTCGCCTTTTGTTCCTCCGAGTGAACTTGGGATGTTTCAGTTCCGAAAGTAACGCTCATAGGCACAAGTGTACTGGATCTGAATACACGAATGAAACTGCTGCTAATCCTTCTGGAGAAAGTGAAGATCCTGTACCTTAATACACTTGTGAAATTACAATCGATTGATCCACGTAGTCGCATTAGGCAGACCATGCAGTTTACACTAAGCGGCATTTGAATAACCCTGGAGACTCGTGATGCTGATCACGACATTCCGCAATGCCTTTTCTCACCAAAGGTTGGCTTCGAATCCAGCCCTACCTACAACGAATGTGCTAAAAAGAGTCATCACTCGAAGAGCTAGTGAGAACCAGGCCGTAAGAAATGTACTTGCATGTGTGAAGAACGAGTCGCTCTTTGTCCTATCAAAGTTTCAATCGCTTATCGGCGATCCCCGTACCTGATACGTGGAAGGATCTGGGAGATCCACAGGGTGTGCGCTGAGACCGACTTTCATCAAACACATATTATGTGCACCGATTTACTTTAACGTATTTAGTACCGTGTATGGAATAAGAAATACCACTCATATGCTTTCTGAGTGAACTGGCAAACTGGAATTATTTTCTTTTTATGTGCGCGAATTATGGGACATTCCGCTCGAGATTGCAGTTAGGTGCTCAGGACTTGACCTGGATATTTAGCATGAAATAAGTATTAAGACACGCCAACGGTCTATCCTATTCCCTCTCTCCATGTGGCCATGGGTCTTAACTTTCGCCACTGTGATGAACAGTGGACTACTGTGCTGTGATGTCAGACTGCATTATTACTCGAGTTCCAACTGCTTCAGCATTGAGTCACGTGTCACCTGGCTGTTTGACTGTGACCAATCAGATGGGAGACCGGTGAAACGGACTCTTGAAACGGAAGAAACCCATGATAAATTGGCATTCTTCGACGTTCTCATTACAGGGTTGCAAAACGGACAACTACAAACAGAATTCAACAACGAGGCAACAGATACAGGGCTGATTCTCAGCTACCACAGGAGCTATCCACCTCACCTCCCCGAATAATTGGTGAAAGAAACTGTGGAAACGACAACCACTGTACGACAAGTACGCAGTATTACAACTACTCTTGAAACGGAAGAAACCCATGATAAATTGGCATTCTTCGACGTTCTCATTACAGGGTTGCAAAACGGACAACTACAAACAGAATTCAACAACGAGGCAACAGATACAGGGCTGATTCTCAGCTACCACAGCAGCTATCTACCTCACCTCCCCGAATAATTGGTGAAAGAAACTGTGGAAACGACAACCACTGTACGACAAGTACGCAGTTATTACAACTGACAACGATGGTGATCATGACCACAGCAACCATCTGCTCGACAGCCAACTCGTGGAACTTTTGAGGTGTTTTCCCTTCTGAGAAGTCCGTGTAGGCATTATCCTGCAGTTTAAGCAGGATCAATCATCCATTGCTTGAAATCATCAGTTGTGCGCATCTCATGAATTCCGGGGCAGATTCGAACCTACAACCCTATTTCTAATACTTGAAGGCCATAAAATTCAGTCACGAGAGGCTGGCCAGCAGCATGACTGACAATTTCCACAAACTACTATTAAAACTATGAGTAACTCGTTAAGAAAAGTAAGCACCTCACAAGTTGCGTGGGTCCTCCATATCAGAAGTCGTCTCTCTAGGGACCAGTCAGCAGGTAAGCTGCCTAAAAGCCGGATGACAGAAAGTTATTTCGCTGGTGTAAATTCACGTAACGATCCGTCGTGATCAAATTGTTTGTAAGCTTACAAGTTCCACCTCTGATGCTGGTTAAAAGGACGCCTATTAACGCACTCGCGATTGCTTGTAATTGATTTTACAGGTTCGTGTATCTAGTGGTAAGCTGGCACGCCGGGTGGTAGATAACCTTCACTGTCTTCAGAAGAAGTTTCATTATACGGATGTATAGTAGCTCTACACAATCTGCCACTTGAAGCCCGCGGTTTGTGTTGCCAGTTTGTTCTTTTTTTTCTATTTTCTGTCTGGTGTCTACGTCACCTACTACACTGCGTTGAGTTGAATATTAGTCTGCTGTATCGTATTTTGTGAACTTTTTATTTACCATATATATGGTAAAGCTCACGAACTCGTCAGTAACACTTTGGGCACTTCGAAGTCTTGAGCCGAAGCTTTGAAGCCGGAGTTCGAACCTCGGCATTTCGAAGGAGCCAGTGAGCCTCAATAAAAGCAACACTCGAATCCGACGCATCCATTCCTTGGTCTGAACTCACTAAAATACTTGTGTTAGGACAGAAAGAGGGCTGTTCAAACGAAATGAGACTACCAGAGCATTTCATATGCGTCGGCTTCCTACATTGGTCACTCCAGGTACACATGTTCGAATACTCAAGAGGTTTCAAATCTGTGTTTTGGGATACCTCTATGTTTCGCTTCCAAACAATTCAGTCGATGGCCGTCCTTGCCGATTCACTTCAATCGCGGTTTGCTGGTCTATAATACGTAGAACAAAACTCAGCAGTAGAATTCAACCAAAAAGCAGAGTCGTTTGTCTGAGCAGCCGCTTATCTGAGTCTTTGTCGAGAAGTGTAATGCGTTTTAAAGGAAAATTTGTCCGCGAATCTATGGGCTCATTGAATCACACGCATTAAAGCAGTCAGTTGAGCAGGACTGCATCTGAATGGCCATTTTTTGGTACACATGTACTTGTGGTGCATTCACTTTAAATATGAAAACCGTGAAAGGCATTGGAATTGCATCAAGTGATCACTTACTCATCTGCGAAAGGAGTGCTCTTGGTATCTGAAATGGGAAGAACAAGGAGGGAATATCAGTTGTTCCGGGACCTAATCACATGAAGTAGAAAGTCTGTCAGTGTACATGAGTTGAAATTTGGTGACAACGTCCTACCATCCTCATGACTGGGTCAAACAGATTAGGGGATTTGGAAAACATGAGGAATTTGTGGACCATGAACTAACAATTTGGAAAACATGAGGAATTTGTGGACCAATAAACTAACAACCTTACAAGCCTTCTTACATTGCTTGTTATCCGATAAATTTTACTAACAGTTCCAGTTGTGAACGTCTGGTCATCCTTTCTGGGGGTTCTTGACGTCACCCGAAGGAGGGTAACAAAAATTTATGACACTTGTCATTTTGCTTCTGTCAGGGTCCTTCATATGGATCCACACCGGATGCAATGTTGTTTTAGGCGGATACAAGCCGCTGAACCTAGGGAACACGTACCCAATAGTTGATGAAGTGCGTGTCACACTCCATCCGAGTTTTCCCGAAGCCGATAGCATCTTAACTAAAGCATTCGATTGGAGTGTTGGGTTATGATTTGGTGTTTAATAGATCTACGATGGAAAGTTGTATGATCTTGAACAATTACCCAAGTGCTCCTAATACAGATAAGGTTATGGACACCTGTAGACGGATTTCTAGCTCAAGGTATCTAGCTTATCGGACGAGTGGCAAGTGAATTATCATGGACCTTTCTTTTTTTCTTTCTTTCTCGGAATCTACGCTTGTTCACCACAGCACTGCAAGTTTGAGTACTGTCTAGATGCAGCTGTCTCTCAGTTTACATCGTACGCATTTGGAGTTCACTTTTTGCATTGCTTAGTAATTTGGATGGGCAATGGAACTACTCACGAGTAGTCGGTTAACAGTTGATCAGATTATTGGTCACACGGAACTTTTCTAACCTTCGAATGGACTGCACTTGGCCTTCTTGGCCCTTCTTGGGGTTCATCGGATGGGCTCAGTCCCCGTGCTGTCCGCAACCTTATATTCTACTTGGATTCAGAATTCGAATTTGCGCACCAATTTGACATTGACGGAAGACTCAACTGAATCCAGGTGAAGCTCTCGTTTATGAGTGGTGCGTTACGTTCAGGTACGATCATAGTTACCCCGTGACTGCTTCAAAAGTGACTGGAGGACAACTGTATGGATTGCAGGTCATGACGTTGTAACCTTGGACAGGGTATCAGATGGACCTGTGACATAACCCTATTATATATTACTAAGCTTAAAGTTTAAGGGAACTAACGGATAAACTGACTCAGGAGTGGGATTAACAAGCACGAGATACAGCAATGAGAAATACAGATGGATTTAGCTGAGTTTGCTGTCAAAACCAATTTCATGCGCAAATGAGAGCGTTTACTCAGTCGTGATAGTTCTGATACTTGTATGGTTACTGTGCTTCGTACAGAAACAAACCCGGTGTGTTTCCTCCTCATGCCTCCCAGTTTCTCAGTCAACTAATCGATGATCCAAATGGTCTTGTCCTGTCGATCACAGGCACCTGACTTTCTCGCTAACTTGATATCATTTAATGACATTTGTCTGCAATTTGGCAGACCAGTCACCTGTAGTGATAGTTGATATTATCGAACAGATCAACAAGCGACTGATGCACAAAGTTTGGGGAAAATTATGTGATGTAGTGGGTGGATCCCATCTTTTTGGGATCCAGAACGCTTCAAGTACGGGGCTCATAGTTTCATGACGGGCACGATATTGGCCAGAACAACCTATTTGTGGACGTCTTAAGTTGTTTGTGTAGACCTGGTTGTGATTTGAACCAGGAAATCCGAAGAACTGGTGATGAAGTAGGGAACTTTTCGTAAAGGAGACTACTCATAGGGTTTCTGAAAACCCTTTGACAGCCCAAGACCGGTTTCGCCCTTCAGGGGGCTCATCATGTAGGCGCAGTCCCCGAGTATCCATCAACTTTATGTTCTACTTGAACCCAAATTGGACTGTTTTCGAGAAGTACACTCATTTGCGAATCAATTTGGTTTTCACGAGGGGTTCAGTTGAGTCTTTCGTGAAAACCAAATGGATTTGCAAATGAGCGTTTGCACGTCATCTGTCTATTCGGAAGAATAACTTGCTAAATCGTGCACACAACTGCCAATTCTGGTGGGATGTTCAGTCGTGTGCGTAATGGAGGTCGGTGTTCAGTTCGGTTCTAGGGCAAGTAGTCTTTTAGTTTTAACCTACAAAACACATTTGGGTGAGGAAGGAGTGGTTGCTAACACTTGCAGCTGACTAGCTGGTTTGTCGTGTTAGATTTTTTCATAGCATATATAATACTTGGTTTATAAGTCAGTAATCAATTGATACACGCAGTACTTACTTGCTTCCATCTAGAATGGTAGGAATGCAAAGAGGAAGGGAGAATTAGGCTTTCGATATTACGTAATATGGCAATCGCTGTCAGACTTACAGTTTATTTCAAGTGTTCCCCTAGATAGAAACTTGTCGGTAGAGTGCCTACCATCCACAGCTCCCAAGTACAGAATAACTGGGTCCTGGTGTGCTTCGAGCAAGATTAACGTTGCTCGTTTGAACTAGGAAAGAAATGTCACTGAGTGTCTCCCAGATATGTCGTAAGTGAGGCTTACTGTATGCTAAATTCAAAGCAAGTAAATTTATACTTCAAATATCAGCTTCGAAATGTTTTGCCTAAAACTATCCACACCCACCGCCGTCGAAAACCCAGTCCCGTAAGAAGAAAAAATTTTACCGTAAAGGAAAGATGGGACGCAGTCGGGTTCACTAGAGCTAGATTTAGAGATACTTCAAATCTACACTACTCTCTATTTTTGAGTAGCTTGAGTGTTGATCATTCGTGACCGGTATCAGCACGTCGCGACACTTATGCTGGCAATTTTGATGACTGAATACACACGAGTGTTACACTTATAAACTCTCTTCAATAGTTGGTAATAGCGATGCCAGTAGCTTGTAAAATATTCAATTAACTATTGCCGATCCATTTTTGTCTCAGAAGAGGAGACTGGTAGGATATTTACTCACTTCAACTTGTCCCTCATTTTCATGGTCACCCTGTTCCTCCCCAGGAAGCTGAGTATTTCTTGTTGATTTCGAATAATCATTTGGGACAACCTCTGACGTGTGGCTTGAAAGGAGCTGAAACGATGAAAGGTGTGAAGTTGCAGCGAACCGATTTCGGTGTACTTCACTCACTTGTTTACTTTTGGAATTGATAGGTCATTTTTCTTGCTCACTAAAATGTGACTATTTGTGATCGTCAGATATCTTTATCATAAAAGGCCAGCCTTATAGGCTAGGGTTTCTCACCAAAGTTTAGTTTATCTGGTACACTAGTGACCCTGTAGAGCTTTAGGATCTCTTGATGTCAAATGTCACTTGCACTTTGATCTTTTGGGCGTCCTACTGATTCCAAGGACTCGAAGGAAAACGCTAGGAGCCGAAAACCTTCTCGTTCAAATATCACGTGACCATGCTCTAGGCTAAGAACACTCATTATCTTCCTGCGGAAACGCCAATTATTACAAACATAGGGTCCAAAAACTGTTGCGTAATGTCACTCATTTACTGGTGCTTATAGGTCATCGCGCGCAAAAGTTCAAAACCTGATAGACTATTAAAAAGTGAGCTTAACTCACCTGTTTCGGGAGCCAGTCCGCAGTTCTGGACAAAGTGGACTAGTAAACAAACGAGTACAGAGTTTTGGAACTGTTCAAGGTATGCTTAGCCCGACTGGTTCCACCCGAAAATCTTCGTGAATTCAGGATTCGCATGATGGTACTGAAATTCGATGACCGGTGAACTTGAGCTCACGAGGACTAGGACCACTCCTGGTCTATTTGTGCTAATTTTCTTAAGTCATTCATTGTATTAGGGCTTAATATCTCGGTCTGTTTCGTGAGAAACCTACAGGACTTGATGAATGAAAACTATTTCCAACGCTGAGTGAGGTAGGATACAAGTGAGTTGTCTCGGTGCACTCGAGCTTGCTATTGGATAAAGTAGGATGCTGTCCCCACCAAGCTAAACAAAGTTGAGTCTCCCTTGAAAACCATATTGTCAAAATTAGTCCAATTTTGGTTCGAGCAGAACATAAGGCTGACAGAAACTCAAGGACTGCGCCTATTTGATGAGCGCCAAGAAGGGCGAAATAAGTCGTGGACCGTCAAAGAGTTTTCAGCAACCTGTGAGTAGCTTTCTTTATGAAAATAGACTGAAATCTCGGCCAAGGTTTAATGGTAATTGTAAATCACTACTACCCAGAAAATCTGGAAGTTAGAGGAAGTTTGGTTGCGTTTGCTTCGGAGAACGAGCTGTAAGATTGGAAACCCCTGGATACTGTAAACAATAGCTACACGATTCGTAAATCTTGTTATGCAACAGACTACTAGTAAAACTACATCAATCAAGCACCAACCGTACTAGAGAGTTCGTCAAAAAACATGTTTGTAAAACTCTGAAAAATTTTTGGAAGTTTTATGCGTATTGGCGCCCTGACTTTGTACTGATGACATTATCTTCCAGTAGAGTTCATCCCTCAGATAAAGGAGAATAGGCTATTCTCCTTGGATTTTATATATACACGTAAACCGAGATAAAGCCACAGTTTTGTTTCTGTGGAAGGAGCCAAGTGAATCATGGGCTTCCACCAAGATCGCGGAGAAAAAACCACCAATGTTTGTGTTCCTGGTGAGATTAGGACGTAGAGAGCTCAGAACTGCAGTCAAAAATATCAAGAAGAGAAAAAGGTCACTCAAGCTGCAACTGAACAAAATGGCATTTAGTAAGGCATGAACGGCGGATAGCGCTTTTTGCTAAATTCTGAG